AATTATTACACCTATCCTTATGCTATTTAGGTAGACATCTAATGTCAATCACATCCAATGTGATTCTTAGATCCTTTACGAGACTATGATATCAAATATCATTGCATACTTGTCTCATCTGTACCATTAAGTCTCAAGTCAAACCTGACAACTTAACCTAAGGTAAACCATATTCAAGCTGTAGGAACCACAATTTTCTACCCTGCCTAACAAAGATAATCTGGCACGCTCGGCTTTGGCATGACCCGTGTTACGGACGATCGATGCCTTGACAGGCGCTCTAGTAATGGGAGGTACACTCTTAGCATTACATGAACAAGGGATTTTCGAAACTGCACCTAGATCAAGCATCTACTTTCAAGCTATGAGAACCACCATTTCTCCATCTTGCCTCACCAAGATAATACGGCACACCCAGCTTTGGCATGGCCCATGACACGTATCGAGGCCTTGACAAGTGCTTTACTCGTAGAGCTCCTAGATCTAACCGGTTTCTGTGCAAGGATTGTACATATCAAGGATCAACAATTATTCCTTGATCAGATGTAATACATAATCCGAATAGACCATCCATTCGATTATGTAATCCCAATCTCGAAGCTCTACCATTTTAATATATTTCGATGATCTTCTTTTGACTGGTAATGATCCTGAGCTTTTATAGGATCTGAAAACTGTTTTACACTCTGCGTTTCAGCTGAGAGATCTTGGCGACATGCGATATTTTCTTGGGCTTGAAATCGCATGTTTTCGACAGGGGATTTTCGTAAATCAAAGGAAATACACTCTCTCGAACTTTTTGATGAATTTGGAATGTTGGGTTGATAGCAATACCCATGTAGTTTGGCCGTTCTACTACCATAACGGATGGTCCGCTCACGGACGAGCTGGAACGGGCGGTCTGACACTCAGACCGTCCGTTCCAGGCTAAAATCCGACCATTCGGACTGCTACCCTTGGACCATCCGTTCCGGAATACCCAGAACGGACGGTCTAGGGTTGAAACACGTGATCAGATCACATTTTTCCGCGTTCCCGGCCCCGTATAGACCCGAAATCGACCCGACTTTCACCTGTGAACTCAGAACACAAACCTCTTGCACACTCTGCAACAAAGAACATGAAATCTACCCTAGATCCATAATCAAATCATGCATAGCATCAATAGCAAACACGGATTCAAACGATTCAAATCCTAAAACGTGTGTGATCGGGTTCTACGAAATCAAAACAGAACAACCAGGCTCTGATACCACTGTGGGGTTTCCTGGGATCTCTAGAGCGAATCCTATTCCTAAGAGATCGATTTTAGGGTTTGCGCAGCGGATGTAAAACAAAAATTTATAGAACCCTAGAACCATGCTGCTATTGAATCGTAGAAACGTTAGAACGCTTACCTCAATCGATCCGGGGCCTGTATCAATCGAAGAACACGTCTGATCACGAAAGGCAGGAAGAATATCTCGCCCCCTACACGTATCCACACCTCGGGATGGATTCCAACAGTTGGAACTTGTCTGCTAGGACCCGAATCATCTATTCGGTTTGATGCTTCGAGAAAACGAGATTTAGAAACTCTTGGATCTTTTGGATCTCACCAAAAGCTGTCAAAAGTCTGCTCCAGACGTCTCTCTCAGTCTCACATACGATTAGGGTTTTTAATCTCCTTCTTATAAGGTTATTTAACCCTAATTCGGTCTAATTTCCGAAAAACCCGAAACCCGGAACGGACGGTCCAGAAATACATGTGGACCGTCCGTTCCAGCA